TCCCGTCCGGGAATGGGGCTGGGGAGCGGGGGCCGCGCGCCCTCCCGCCTCCCTCCCCGCACCGCAGTCCCGCTGGCTCACCTCGGCCTGCGCCCGCGTTGGTGGCGGTGGAGTTCCCGCAGCCCATCGCGCCGCCGGCCCGGGAAGCCGCGCTCCCGAGCTCGCGGCCGCAAGTCCCGGGGGCGGAGACCCAAGTGAAGTCGCCGCGCCCCGGCTGGAGTCCGGCGGTGGGGGGGGGGCGCGGGAGCGGGGGGATGCACGGGGGCCGTCCCCGCTACCTCCCGAGATGGGGCGCGAGCCGCGACACAAGGGCCCAGGAGGAAACCACCGGGATTCCCCCCACCCCAGCCCCCGCCCCACTCGAAGACCCCGCGGGACCCACCCGTTGCCTCGGCAACCGCGGCGCTAGCCAATCCGCAGCGTTCTCCGAGCTTCTCGGTGGGACATTGGTGGTTGGAAAGAGGGGGCGGGAGTTTGAAGTGGGTTTGGGGGCCGGGGCCGGGCTGAGGGGCGTGGCGGGGTGGGATGGAGGATGCCCGCCGGCCCGCTTCCTCTTCGCTGTGTTGGGCCCCATGGATGCCCAGTAAAGGGGAATGTCTCCAATCCTCTCCTGCGTTCACGGGAAGCACGTGCTTCTCGGTTCCCCCACCGTCCTTAAATCGTGCCCAGGTTCATCGTGTTAGCCCACTCAGCTTTCAAATAAATATCTGCTGCGAGGTCTAGCGCCTGAGTTCAGGACCTGGGCTCCGATGAAATGTCAGAGTCGCGAATGGACCCAGCGGGGCAAGTGTCGGGTCAGATTGGATCATGGGCCCCAGCCTGACCCTTGATAGCTGTGTGACTTCACGAAAGGTACTCACCTGTGAAGTGGCCATAACTTGAGTGCCTATAAGACACTTAGCACGGCCCTCGTCAGCTAGTGTCGCTATGTTTCTTAACTCTGTTAGACGAAGGTCCACCTTCCTTGGAGATGAAGACTCTGGTGGTTCATAATGTTGCCCTGGCTCATAATAAAAGTGCTGGAATGCAAATTCAAGGCAGAAATTAAAGCTTCATTTACAACTCACAGTATTTATAGAGAGCCTCGCCTGGGCCAAGTTCTTTGTTAAGTTCCAGGGATATAAATATGTGAGAGATAGTCTCACCAGACAGACAAATTATAAACAAATCAGCTACAGCAGGGATGTCGACAGGGTCCAAGGAGACACTGGTTAAAAGAATTCTTCTTAAGCCATGCAAGCTGAGTGGAGAGAAAAACTTGATCGAGAATCAAAGTCCTAAAAGATTTTTGCACCTGATTTCACGAGATTGTGGTGAGAACTTGGCAGTCCTGTCATTCAGCATTCTTTATGTGCTGAGATGTATCAATTCTTGGACAAATAAGATTACTTTTCAATGGACTTTCTAGCAGCATTATGTCTCTGCATTGGTCTCCGTTGTCTTGGCTTGGTGCACACCCCCAATAGAAATCCAGAATCAGAGTGGAAGGAAGACTACAAAACAATCACAAGAAATAACTCTGGCTTGTTTCTGTGCTGTCCCATACTGATGGGACATGTGCAAGAAGGAGAGCAGGGCCACCCAGACCTGGCATTCTCCTGTTGAACGAGGTTGTGTCGGGATAGGGCACAGAACACATATCTAGCAATCCCAAGGCCTTGGGTTCAAGTCCCAGTACCTCCATAACAATAAGAAAAAATAGTTGCACAGAACACCAATATCATAGCAGACCACCCTGAATAATGAAATGATGCCAAAAATCACCTTCGGGGCCTAAGTTCTGCTAGTTCCTTCATGACATCCTGTTACTGAGATAATGCATAACTCCTCATGGTGTGAACTCTTTTTTTCTGAAATAAGAAACAATAAATCCAACCTACTCCACTGTGGTCTTTGTCTGGAGGGTATTAACGCTTGTGAATATCATGTAATCTACTTGATATATGCTGTAGCCATTCTTTCAGCACTCTAATTACCTCTTGGTGCAAGCCATTTCTCTCCAAGCTTGACAGATGGCCAGGAACAAGGTGAGAAGAAACATCCAGTGGAAGGAGATATATCAAAGTCAGGTGCCAGTAGCTCATGCCTGTAATCAGGAAGTTGAGATCTAAGGATCCAGTTTCAAAGCCAGCCCAGTCAGGAAAACCTGTGAGACTTCAATTAACTACTAAAAAGTTAGAAGTGGAACTGTGGCTCGAGTGGTAGAGCACCAGCCTTGAGCAAAAAGCTAAGTGACAGTGCCCAAGCCTCAGTACCAGTACACACACACACAGACACATACACACAAACACAATAACATACACACACAGTGGGCTCACCCACATCAAATCAAATGAGATTATTCCAGCCACTGTACATGCAATGTAAAGCAAATAAATCACTGAAATAAGAAACTATAGATAGAAAGAGAAGAAGAATGATACTATTTTAGGTTCTATGGCTAAGGAAGGGTTTATAGCTGAGGTCCAGTGGACAAGAAAAACACCGAACATGTGAAGAAGATCCAAAGACAGATCACCTACACCAAGAGAATGGCAAATGCAAGAGCCTTGGATTAAGAACATTCCAGGTATGCTTCATAAGCAGAAAAAAGTCCATGAAACTGGGCTAGAGTGGAGATGGTTGTGGAATCAGAGAGCAGCAGCTCAATTTGCTATGGATATGACCAGCCAGGTAACTAATTAAAAAAACTATTCAAAGGACAGCCCAAGTTCATTTGACTTGACAGCATATGTAGAGGTCTTAGAAAAATGGAAGTCTAATAAGAAATGCTACTCCCTCCCTCTAATATGGAATGAAGAGTAAAGCTATTGTCTTCCTTTTCCTGTTTAAGGTTTTATTTTATAGGTTAAGTTTCATTTTGATGCTTCTTAAAAAAAAAAAAAAACTAGTGAGTCAAAAAAAGTCGTTAATACCTGCCCCATTTCCTGACTGCTGGTCAAAGTCAGTTTCTTGCTCTGTGGCAGTGAAACTGCAGCACGCGGCCACTGTTTGCATTCTTTAAACAATAACTGCTTTGTGATCAGCGGAAGTAAGAGTGTGAGCACAGGGGTTCTGAAGAGGAAAAGAAAGCAAAGAAGCTGAGCGCTGGTGACTCACACTTGTAGTCCTAGCTACTTGGGATCACAGTTCAAAGCCAACCCAGGCATAAAAGTGTGAGACTTTTATCTCGCATTAGCCAGAGGGGAAAAAAAGCTAGAAATGGAGCCACATGTGGCTCAAGTCAAGTGATAGAGAGCCAGCCTTGAGCAAAAAAGCTCAAGGATAGCTCTTAGGATCTAAGTCCAAACCTCAGGATCGGTAGCAAAAGGGAAAAAAGCAGAGGCAGTAGAAGGGAAAGCTAGGCATCTAAGCTTTCTTGATTTTTCTTCTAGCAGCCTGGGTTTTATTTGTTTTCGTATTTCCGTAGGACGGTGGTGACCTCTGTTCTCAGCACATCCATGCAGCACAATGCAACCAAAAGAGGGCATCTCCCAGGCTTGGTGTCTTCTAAGGCCAGCACCCAACACACACTTCTTCCATTCCTTCATCAGGATGGTTCTTTTTTAGAATTACCTTCAGGAAGGTCAGTAGTTGTCAGACACTATGTAACAACCTCTCTGTCATTGACTTTACCTTATCTGGTTACATGAGCATTCTATCATCTCATATCATCATTAGGAAAAGAAGGAAGACTACAATAACATAAGGAATTTACAGAAAGCTTAACAATAACTAATAATAAAATTATTAGTATTATCTTCCGTCCACTGGGCCTTTGCACAAGCTGTTCTTCACACCTGGAATGCTATCTCCCCAATTCCTGGCTGAATTAATACCGCTCAGCCTGCATCCTTTACTAAAGTGCTAACAGAGAAGCCCTATGTCCCCTCTCTGAGTCTCCTACTACACATGTCCAGGGTCTTCAAGGCCATCATCCCAATGCATGTCATAACAAGCATTACTCTCCTTCTCAAGGGGACGCAGCTCAGGCTTGGTTTTATTCTGTGTTGCTTCTCTAGCACCCTGGTCAGTGTTTGTACCACAGCAGGGGTTCAGAAGTATTTGGAAGTTTCTATTCTTGTCACCCTGGAGCTCACCTTCTAACGAGGGAAACACATTAAAAGAAACTAATGCAAAAACTCGCCAACCAGGGTATATGTGCAGTCAAAGACACTCAGCCCCAAATCAGGGGCTGAGGTTAAAAACACCAGTGGGGAAGCTGTTTAGAGACTAGTGAGTACACTTAAGACCTGTGGCTAGGAAGGAACTAAAGCAATGGTTCTAATCAGATATGCTTGCCCCCAGGGAACTAGGAACCCAGGCACAGGTAGAGCCCTGAAAGCTGAGAGGAGCCTGCCCAGCAAATGGCTTGGGGTTTCAGAGCAAGAAGGATTTCAGGAGTCAGTCATCAGCCATCCAACAGGATCCCATTTTTTTTCCCCATACATTGATCTACTGTGATCCACTATGTTTTCATGAGACTACATGTCTACTCCCCCAACCCCTGTGCTAGGGATCTAACTCAATGGCTCAAGCTTACAAGACAGGTGCTCTACTATTTAAAAACCACACCTCCTAGTCTGGCACTAATGGCTCACACCTGTAAGCCTAGCTATTCAGGAGGCTGAAATCTAAGGATGGGGGTTCAAGGCCAGTCCGGACAAGAAAGTCTGTGAGACTTTTTGTCAGTAGTGGGGCCTGAAATCTGGGCCTCAGTGCTGTCCCTCAGCTCTTCAGCTCAAGGCTACCTCTTGAACCACAGTGCCACTTCCGGCTTTTTCTGCTTATGTGGTGCTAAAGAATCGAACCCAGGGCCTCATGCATGCAAGGCAAGCACTCTACCACTGAGCCACCTTGCCATCACTATGAGACTCTTATCTCCAGTTAACCACTAGAAAAAGCATAAGTGGAACTGTGGCTTAAAGTGGTGGAGCACTAGTCTTAAGCAGAGTAGAAAAGCTCGGTGACAGTGTCAAAGCCTTGAGTTTAATTCCCATCAACTCCCCCTCCCCCAAATCCACACCTGCAGCCTTTTGCGTTTAGTTTACTTTTCAAATCTCTTCTCTCCACCTCCCAAGTCACTAGGAATACAAATACACCTGATGCCTACTTTTTTTTTTCATGCAGTTGGCCATTTGGGAATAGATTCCAAAAATAGTCAATGGATCCCTTTATAAAGTATC